GGATTGTAAACAACAGAAATTGATTTCTCAGAGTTCTGGAGGATGTAACGTCTAAGATCAAGGTGCCAGCAGATTTAGTGTCTGTTGAGGGTCTTGCTTCCTGGTTCATAGATGCCCGTGTTCTTGCTGTAACCTCACATGGTAGAAGGGGCAAGGGAGTTCTCTGAGTCTTTATAAGGGCACTAATTCCATTTTGGAGGGCTCTGCCTTCATGACCTAATCACTTCCCAAAGGCCCCAACTCCAAATACTATTACATTGGGTGTTAGGATTTTAACATATGAATTTTGGGAGGGACACAAACATTAGGTCTATAGGACATAGGAAAAGAATAAGAGGAAGGGTGCTCTCAGTGAGGGATCCAGAATAACCAGAGAGATGGGAATCTGCATAGCATATTTTTGAGATAGTGAGAAGAGCCAGTTGGAAAGGTCTATTGGAACCATTTGGGAGAAATGAGAAATAAGTTTGACATTTTTATGTGCAATTTAAAGAGCATCCAACTAGATAAGAAGCAATCATTTCACCCAGCCTCCTGGCCTTGGCTTTCTTTTGCACTTACATCTACATTATTCATGATGCCAACAACACCCTCTGTTAAAGGGCATTCTTCTAGCTTACAATGATTCTCACCCCTCCTTAACTATCTGTCCCCTTCCCAGCCATATGGGTGGGTTAGTTCCTAGGAGCCACGTTTGTGCAACGTGGTTCAATTCTAGCATCAGCTGATTGAAGCTGCATGGCTCATCCTTGGTAGAACAAATATACCACTCTAGGAATATGGGAGTGAGACTAAAAGGGATGACATGAATCTATCTCTTTCTTCATGGAGCTGAAAGTATGACATGTGATCCTCAGAGCCATGGGCAGCCACCTTGTGTCTGCCATATGGAACAGGCAGCTGAGAAATCTATTCCTCTCAGGAAAAGAAAGAGGCAGTTATACAGGGAGAAACAGAGGCATATCACAGAGCACTTGCAGTTCCCGCTGGCCTTCCAGCTCTCACTCCGCCTGCTTAATCAACTACATTTCTGCTCTTAGATTCTGAGACGCCCTGTATCTTTTATAATCGATCCCTTCTTTCTGCTTAAGTCAGCTTGGGTTAGGTTTCTATCATTAGAAACCCAGAGTCCTAACATAATGATGAATAAATAGATTTAACTGAAGTCCTACTGTCCTTTGCTTTTACACATGCTCTCTCAACTTGCGCTCTCAGGACAAGCTTTCTTTCACTGGCCTTTGCTCAACAGCAGTGTATCTTGTTGTTTTGTACATCTGAGTGTCACAGTTTCCACAAGCTCTCTCTGCTCCTTTCCTCAGAGCCCTTCCCAGCTTTCTTTGGTTTCTCTTTCCTTTCTCTCCTTGAATGAAATGCTAACAAAGAAACACAGAGAGGCTGGGAGTATCATTTATATATGCCTGAGGCTTATGAACAGATAATGGGTTCATTAGTCCAAATCTCTCAGGATCTGTGATGCAAAGGGATAGGAAACAAGAAGGTTTAAAAATGAATATGTTATTCAGACCCTCTCAAGGTAGGGCCTCTCCAGGTTATTCTGGAGGCCACAGGAGGGATAAGGCCACCCCCTGCTTAAGGGACCTTTGACAGCTCCAGTGTCAGCTGTGTCCCCTTTTCCTTGTTCCTTTTTTGAAAAATTTATTTATTTATTTATTTATTTATTTTGGCTGCACCGAGTCCTACTTGTGGCACATGGGATCTTTAGCTGCGGACTTCTTAGTTGTGGCATGCATGCAGGATCTAGTTCCCCAACCAGAGATAGACCCTGGGCCCCCTGCATTGGGAGCATAGAGTCTTACCCACTGGACTACTAGGGAAGGCCCTCCTTTTCCTTGTTCCTTGTTGCCTCAGCTGTACTAGGCTCTGCCAGATGGACGTAAAGCCACTGCCACATTTATAGCTTGAAGAGGTCACTACTCTAATTGGAAAATCAGAAACCTGAGATCTCCAGAGAGAAGCCCCTTCTTGCTGACGGGATCATGTACCAAAAGTAGGTGGAGAAGCCTGACCACTCAGAAGCCTGGAAGGGACTCCAAAAGGCAGATAACCAAGCCCTAAACCAGCTAGCTGCCAACAGTGTCAACACAGTCGCAGTTTTACCCAAGAGCTAAACTAAAAATAATCTGACACTTCACCACAGCATGCCTGCCTGGCTCTGATGTGCAGAACAAATGCTGAGATACAGGCTGCCACTGCATTTCCAACAATTTCAGGTCTAATGATGTCAAGAGGAATTGGGAGATATGAAAGTGACGATCATGTAGGAAGGCAATCACTCATTGTTCAGCTCATTAGGCTAATGGTTTGTCGCTGTAAAACAGATAGTGATTTATTTGGTGTCTTCAGAAGTGGTATTCAAAGGGAATCAGGGTGTGGTGTTGACTTCTCTCTCATGGTATTTGGTAATTATGCTTTTTGGATATCTTATTTGTGTTAATAATAGGTCTTGTTCATTTTTTTGGTAACCTCTTACCAGACTAGGAGATCCTTGAGAGTAAGAATCATGTCTTCTTTTTCATCTAGCTCTATACCTCTATAGAGATATAGAGATCTGACAAGGCCTGGCAATTTAGAAAGCTCTCAATAAAATATTTATTGGTTAAAGGAATAAATGAATAACCGAAAAATAGCAAAAATCCAACCTAATGATGAAGGTTTGGGAAAGTGTCTTAAAGGATATAATGATTGAGTCTTCAAGAAGTCACTGGAGTTGGTAAAGCAGAAACGTAGAGAGGAGGAGACTGAATGTTAAAGGCATTTGAAATTGCCATCAAGGGAATTAAAAATGCTTCAATATAGCATGTGGCTGAGAGGAAGGGGATGAAGCCGAAAAGTGCGGCAGGGGCCAGAAGGAGCTTGTATGCTTTGCTATAGAGTTTGACTTTCATTTTCCAGGTGATGGGAATCATGAAAAGATCTTCAGTAAGAGAGGAACCTAATGAGGTTTTCTTGTAGAAAGCTGTCTGTGGCCACATGGAGAGTAAGCGACGGCAGGGATGGAGATGGGGTTGAGACGGGATTGCAAAGATCAGCTAAGAGCACCTTTCAATCAGTAATTCAGGTGAGAGGTGATGAAGATCTGACCTATGGCAGAAAAGGTTTGTTTTTGTCCTGTTCTTCCCACTGTCAGCTTTTCATCACCACCAACACCATCACACCCTCCTTCAGGATGTGGGCCTGGGGATGCTGAGGAGTAACAGAAAATGCCAACCACAGTAGTGGTTTTCAAACACTTTTTTCTTCGTTGGGCCACGCCAAAAGGCAAGGTGGCATTTTCCAGAAGGTCCATGGGCAGAACCAAAAACGAACAAAGAACCGAATGACTCTTTCTGGTGCCACAATCTTTGGGCCACCTCACTTCTCTCAGCAGGTACTGTGCGCACTTGCCATATTATACTTTTTTTAAGAAAGGAAATAAAAAAAGAAGAGACAAAAAGGAGAAGAGGAAGGTAAAAAAAAGCACAAGACAGATGGTGAAGACCCTTTATCATATTCATAAATAAAGAATTAAAGTTATTGCAAGAAAGAAGCTGTTTACATTTTGTGGTCCATTACCAGGACTTGAATTTTACAAAGGAGATTCAGGATAGATGGAAATTTGCTCAGTTTGCTTATGGAGGAAGACCAGCTCTCCCTTCATGCTCTAGCCCAGACCTGATGGGAGTCATAAGGAGCAAACCCCTCCCTATAGGACCATGGTTCCCAACCTTAACTATACACTGAAATTAACTGATAATTAAAAGAAATACTGCTGCCTGAATTATACCCTAATAGACTCTAATTTAATTGGTCTACAGTGTGGTCTTAGAATTGGTCCTTTTATAAAATTCCCTGGGTGATATGAATATACAGGTGGGCTGAGAACCACTGCTATACACCAGTGGTCAGCAAAGTTTTTCTCTAAAAGGCCAGAGAGTAAAAATTTTAGGCTTTGTGGGCCACAGGGTCTCTGCTGCAACTACTCTACCCTGCTGTAGTGTGAAAGTAGCCACAGACAGTATGTAAACGAATGGGTGGGGCTGTGTTCTAATAAAGCTTTACTGAGAAAAACAGTCAGTGGGCTGGACTTGGCTCATGAGCCATAATTTATTGACCCTTGTTTTAGAAGCACATTCCAAAGCATGGCTGGATTGTTCAGATTGCTAAGTCAGGTATGGACAAATCTTCCAGTTTAAAAAAGGCATCTGAAAGAATGTTCTAATTTTAGTAAAATGAGATATGTTGCTGAGTTCCATTTCATAAAATGCTCAGGTCTTCTGGGGAAGTGAAGCTTTGATAGCTGACATAAATTTACTTTACTACCCTGCAGTAGCTATCTGTGTGGGTTAATTTACATTGAAAATCTGCCAACAAAAGGTTTAAAGTCCTGGCTTAATACGTTAGGTCCAACTTAAGGCAAAGCTGTCAGGTTAGATCTGGGGAGTGAGAGAAAGAAAGAAGTGGAGTATTAAGTTCCATGAAACCTCTATGCTGTTTGACTTCTCAGGGAGACCACATGTGGTTTTTGCGTTCTGAAGAAAGAAACTCCAGTAAGGTATAAAGAAGAAAAAAAATAACATGCAGTGGTGGATAGAAGGATTAGACATGAAGATAGACACTAAAAATTAGAACCGACATAAGGACAGAAAAAAATTAAACCCAAGTGAGAAGGGGGTCTTTACAAGGTCAGAGAAATGAACTGGTAGATTTCTGTTTTATGGGTTTTCCAAATCCCTTGACTAGAATTCAGCCATGAGCCTAAGTTTTGTTTTGACGACCACATAGAGAACCAGTTTTAATTTATACTACCATTTTATTCTGGAGAAATCCAGAGAAGGCAAAGACACATTAGAAAAATGAACTTCTGCCTAACCATTAAGTTTCTCTTCCACCATCACTGGTTTCATCACTGTCCATAGAAAAGTAGCCAGATGACACATGGCTGCAAGTCATGCTCCTGACAATCAAGGCTAGCTGAGCTGTGTGGGTTACGCCATCCTTACCTTTATCCTATCGATGTTGGCTTCCATCTTCAGCTGTTCTACCAGTTTCCTGGCTTGAGCTATGCTGGCGGTGTTGTTGCTGGCCATTGGAATGCTGGGTGGGTTTTTCAGACACACTGGGAAAGAAAACAAGGAGTAAAAATGCATCAGAGAATTCTCCAGCTGCCAAATGTTCAGATTCATCATAGCTGGGGGATCCCCCCAAAATGGCTATAGTCGGGCCAGGCTCCTCCAGCCATCTACATCCTCAATCCAGCACTGAGTCTGAGTGGCAGGCAGGCCAGAGGTTTGCTTTTCCAACTCCCTACCTCTGCCCTTCCATCCTCCTTTGGGAGAAAGAAAAAAAAGAAGAAAGTTCATCAAATCAGATAAGATATGCTGCCACATTAAGAAATCAAGTTATTAAATTTATGTCAATTTATGAAATAAGTTCAAAATGGTAAGGGTGACAGTATGCATAATTACTGTTGTTATTTATTGGGTACTGCTATTGTTAGATACTGTGTTAAGTGCCCTCAGAGGATGAGGAATGAAAGGTGAGCAGAGGCAGGAATGGTAAATTATATAATCCCTAAGGACTAAAAACACTATGTTTACAATGTTCTCTTGATGGGCTCAAATGCTGACTCTCTGGTTAACTGTAAGCACCTCAGTCTATTATATTGCAGAGACACTGCAATAGGACTTGTGGCTATTTTGTGTTATTTATCCAGCACAGTCTATTTGAAATATGGCTTGATTCACAACCAATTACTTTACTCATAATTCTTCAGGAACGATCTATAATGTCAAGGGGTAGGCGTTGCTATGTCTAAATTGTTACTTGCATCGATGAGTAGACCAGTGGTATTCTAAATTAAGTACAACAGACAATACTTTTATGAATATGAAATGGAACATAAATGTTTAGAGAGGGGAGTTCTGTACCTATGTAGATGGTGAGATGGTTTCTTTGTCTCTGGCTCTACCAGACCCACTCCCATCCTTGTCCCCCAATCCCTTCAAGTCCTATCCCAATTTCATTTCTCTTCTAATTATTTCTTGACCCACCATCTCACTTTATTCTTGTTGTTCATCTCAGAAAGTATCCTATTTATTTTCAGTACCCATTTCCCCCACATTCTCATCAGGTGTTGCTCCATGTCAAGGTGCCATATACTATTTCAGGACCGTCAATGTAAATTGGCCCCTTGAGGTCACTGACACCCAACAGTGAAGGAATGTCTGAGAGCTGCAATTTAACTAGAGTGCACGACCCAAGAAATGAGAAACATTAAACACTGCTTCAGTCACCACCAGTCATATCTTGTTCTGAAGATATTAAATTAAAAACCGTGACTTCTACTAGCTTTGGGGAATATTTTTATCTAGGGATAAAGTAGGATCAGGCTACTATCTCAAAAAGGAAAGAGGACACATAGAAAACCTACAGAAAGAAAAATAACCCATAGTAAGTTCAGTACATAGGTTTTTACATATCCATGAAAATCAAGAAACAATTTTTATTTTAATTACCAAAACAGCAAAAGTCTATAAATTATCTTCTTTGGTTCTGATTTCTTGACATTTAACTCTCTGTAAACAAAGAGGTCCCTTCATGGATAGTGTTATTTTATAAAGAATACTGCAAAAGCCAGCCCAACAACATTTATAGTATAAATTGGAGGATAGTAAACTGTTCCCTCAATTTATTTTCAAAGGATTTGGAGACGATAAAATGGGAAGGAAGACTGAAAGAATTTTGAAGCCACAAAGATCTCTGAACTCTACTTTCAAATGCTTGAAGATCAAGGGAGGGATCCTGCATGCAAAAAAAAAAAAAAAAAAAAGTGATGCCATTTCTCTGGACTCTGCATCCTCACCTAGGAGAACCAGGTCAAACAATTCTAGGATCTCTTTCAGCTTTAATATATCATGTCTATAGAACTTTCCCTGTTAAAAAAAAAAAAAAAAAAAAAAAAAAGGAGGCTTTAACAACAACTGAGATTTCATCAGCATGGTTAGGGACCTAATCATCTTAGCCCCACAGGGAAGTTATGTGCCCCCAAATCAAATGGACATCTACCAGCCTTGCAAAACTTCACAGGGCCAAGATGGAGTATTGACTTACCCAGTAGAGTAGCCTAACTCTTCCAGTGATCCAAAATGGAAGGAGCTCTGGTCTACAGGCCCCTGGACACTGTTCTGTAAAGTTCATGTTTCCTCCAAACTAGAATTTATCACACTAGAATACAGACTATCACAGAATTTCCAAATCCTCATTGGGCCTGAGGGACCTCTGAGAGTCTGGTCAGCTATTCTTCTGCCCTTGAACCTAAACCAGATAACACAGTAACCTGTGGCAGAGACCACTGCTTGCTTCCAGTACCCGTTTTCCTCCTCTTCATTAGTGATAACAATTTTTTTTTTTTTTTCTTTTTAACAGAGACCACAAGAACCTTGAATTTTAGTTGGGGACATTTTGCTGAAAGATGCATTCTCAGGCTCCTTTGCAGCTTGGTGTGGTGATATGACTAAGTTTGGCCAATGAGACATAAGCAGGAGTGTCCTGAAGGGAAGGGATGTGCCCTTTGCCTCCCCTTCTTCCTGTTACTGGCCTAGAAGGTAGTCACATTGCCCACAGAGCTCCATCTTGAACATCTGGGTTACACTCCAGGAGGAGCAGGAAGGATCTGGGTCCTTACTGATACTGTAGAGCCACTATGCCAGCTGTGAACTGGCTGCCATCTATGTGAAGAGAAATAAGCACCTATCTTGTTTACACCGCTATTATTAAGGGTTTCTCTACTGTTGGCTCACAGATCTGCCATTAACTGATTAAATAACCCATTATTTTTATTTGAGTATCCAGGAAAGTCTATGTCCTAATGCCTGTTAATGTTCCCTGGAAAAAGCTGTAGCTGTCCTGAGGAGGCTGAGATGGAAAGTGTATGAGTTTTCTATTGCTGCTGTAACACCTTACTACAAATTTAGTAGCTTAAAGAATATAAATGTATCTTAATAGTTCTGGAGGTTAGAAGTCTGAAAGAGATCCCACTGGGCTAAAGTCAAGATATTGGCAGGGCTTCATTCCTTCTGGAGGTCTAAAGGAAAATGTCTCCTTTCCTCACATAGCTTCTAAAGGTTGCTGGCATTC